CAGTAGCTCATTATATATGATTAACGCATAGTCATAGTGTCTTGAAAACACTATACCATGAAAGAACTTAAGGAATGTTAAGCTGCACGTGTCAATGCCTTGTGTCTTCGACGTTAAGCATCGATTAAGGATTGAGAATAGAAGATGCCACACCGACGGTAAGAATCTTCGTTTGAACTGGGAAGGGTTATTCAACGGTGCCGAGTATCCCAGTCTCTTGATATCAACACAGAGTTGATCATCTGATACAAAGTCTTCAAAACCGGTCGGGCCAGGAGCAGGAAGACGTTAGAATTCTACGTAAACGCTTCAATGTCAGTCGGCTGACATATTCATCAACCTCTCCTTGTAAGTAAATAGCGTCTCCGTCTTTTTCCATTGTAACTGTGCCCCAAAATTGTTGTAGGTAAACCATGGGAACAGTTATATGTGCAGATAAAGCATAGGAAATTGGATGGCCTTTCAGTAGGGAATGCCATAGTGTGGGCATTTCCTTAACAGCTCTTTAAACCTCTCTCTTGCATTAGGAACAATTTCATCGTCCATTTGTTTAAAAAGACATATTTCATTTATGGACTTAGCGTTTCTGGTGGGTGGAAAATATTTGCGCATAAATTTTTCAGCCATATTACTCCACGATGGCACAGAACTCGACAGTAATGAATTTAACCATGCTTTGCTCGATCCCTTTAAGGAAATGGAAACAAAGTAAGTCTTAGAGCGTCGTTAGACACTCCCAGGATAAAAAAAAAGCATCAGTGATTTACATGAAAGACTTTAGATGTGAGTGATGATCTTCCAATGAGGGTCTTCCGATGGTAATCCAACAAATTTTCCATTTGTTTGCAACGTATGGAACATAATTAGTTTTAGTTCAAAATGGAGGGCTGTCATTTGTGGCCTAACTATCCCAGAGTTTAATTGCTCAAAATCAGGGATATCATAGTCCATGATTCTTCCATTTTTAGAGTTTTCCAGATTGATTATCTTTAGACTTTGCGCTCTTGGTTGATCATTATGTTCCGATTATGTGTCATCATTACCCAAATTATTATCATTGTGTGGGTGTCCTTGTGGAAAGTTCTGAAATGGTGGTATTTGTGTAAAAATAGGCGGTTGATTTTCCAAATGCGGCACATCTGGAATGATTGGGGGGAGGTAACGCCATGTTGGGAGGGAGTAGACTAAAAAATGCTCTTTGTGCCCTCCTTCTTTGGCGAAATGTTCTCTCAATATTGGGATCAAATTCGATAAACTTTCCACGGTTCGTGGCATACACCACTTTCAAAATGATTCAAACAGTACTAGAAAAATCAATCTTTTACTTTACTCTTAAAAAGAAACTTTTAGCTTGCCAATCCTCGGCAACGGCGGCAAAAACTTGGTAGGTTATTTTTCACACCCTTAGAGTTATAAAAGGAACCACAAATCAAGTATACAATATGGTCCAATGTCGTCTTTTCCAAGTAATAAAGTGGTAAAAACCGAATATCGTCCACGGAGATTGTAGCAAAGACTTAATAAGAGTCCAATGAAATAGATGATTTCAGATGATGAAATTGAAGACTTCAGTTTGATTCTGAGTTAACAATGACAAACTAACAAAATATAAAGGGTAGCATGGGTGTAAGACTTAGGGTGAGATGCAAACACAAATTCCAGCAGAAAATGTTGTAGGAATGCTACAGCATACAGTAAACCAAAACTAGTTCCACCCTCTATTTTGAAGGTATTCCTCCCCGACTTCACCTTTGCACTATATTATAGCTTTCAACTCATATCTCTATGTGGTATCCGGACCAGGGATAGTGACAAAATGATGTCTTCAAAATATATGGATAAACAAATCTCTTTGTTAAAAATCACTCCCTCGAGCTGATTCCAATATCATTCAAGTTGGCGAGTGTTCTAGATAGTTCATCTCTGAATTTATCGCACTTTGACACTTTTAAAGAGTGACCAACCTGTCGGGAGTTAATTTGAAAAACATAGATGACAAGTCTCCTTGTTGATAACTTTCTCAAGCCTACCTCTTATATCATTCAAGTTGACGTGCATTCAATGGCTTATCTCTAAAACCATGGTATTTTAACATTTTCAAAGTGATCAGCTTGTCAAGAAGTGTACTTGGTTTTTATAAAAACTTGAATGAAATAGTGGAACATTGTTATTGCGAAACAACATCCATTTTTCTTTGGTTTAACATTGCACCCTTTGTCTTACACCCAAGCTAATAGAATTAGCTACTCATTACAGAATTTAAATGACAAGAAATACAAAGAACTATAAATAAAGACATAAATATAAATGACGGAAAGTAAATGACTGAATATAAAGAGCGGAAATTAAATGACAAGAAAAATAAATAAAGCAAGAACAATGTTGTAGCAACTCATAACGAAGAACAATATTTAAAGAAAATTCAAGAACTAACTTGCATAAGCAGAATAACTACAGATCTGGTTTTTAAATGTCTGTGGGATGATTAAATGAAAGCAACAAAGGTCCCTATTTATACAAAAGACTTAAGCAACAAGAAAAAAATATTGGATATAACCATGTTCCTTAAAGGTGGACAAAAGTAAAAAGGGAATATCACATCATGAACAAAAGCAACCTCCAAAATCCCTTCTCCAGCTGTAATGGTTATTAGCCAACAGATTAGCAAAATTTTGTCTTCATTCTAATTCGGCAGCTGAATCATTAAGCACTCCTCCAAAATGCCGTCTCCTAATTGATCAATGCTGCTGGAATGTTGCAGCATAGAACATAGTGTATCCAAGTTAAGATCACTTCTACTCAAATGGTGTAAGGACAAGCTAATCACTCAATTTAGCTCCAAGTATAAACAAATGGAAAATAAAGTAATAAAAATGACTCAAGGTTGGGATACAAAAATAAACTACATAATAAGTAAAGAAATGGATACTTTATGTATTGAATAATCAATGCATATCACTACACTTCTAATATTTTATATATAAAGGAGGTTCAAGAGAGAACTGCAAAAAAATGGAAAAGCAAATAACCCTCCACCTATAGTTGGATCTAAAAAAAATACATGACTCAGATTAATATGTAATCGTCCTAATAATCGTGGGTTTATGGAAAATAGTAACCACCATTATTTTCTAAAAATGTTGGATTAAAACATATCAATGATTGACAAAGGTCCAACCATTCTCCATTTTTAAGGGTTCTCCTTCAATTCGTCCTTTTATATTTGATGTTTTTTCAAAATTTTATGATAAATTGAACCTCAAACACCCTTACATATTCATGATTTGTATTTCAAGTCAATCAGACAATCACTGCAAAATAACCTTATGTAATAATAGAAATTAGAACCATTAAATTAAATTGCACAAATCTTAAATGCTTGGATTGGATTTTTGTTCAGCTACCACATATACTTATTTCATCTGTTATGTTTTGTCATCTTTATAGGATTAGTTAGGTTTGGAGACCTCCATGCATGTATCTAAACGGAATCTTGAGTGTTTCTATATTTGGATAGGTTTGGAAACATTTTTAATCAACTTTTTCACAAGAGATGTCATGTTAAAAATTATGTATTTGATTTAGATACATCGTGAACATAGTTGAATTAAAAGATGGGGACATAAATCAGGTAGAAATTGGAGTTTAGGCGAAGGTTCATTTGATCTAGCAATTCTTAAAAATTCGTTTTGTTAGTCTACGACCAATCTCGAGATCAACACCATTCTTTACATGGTTTGCTCCAAACACTACCTCGTAATAGAAAAAAGAATGAACCCATCAATTTATTATAAAAATATAATTTGTAAAAGTATTTGATCTATTTTTAGTATTTTATCTGTTTTTCTTAACTCCTAGGCGATGATTACTATTGTATTATAATATGTAATCACATATAGTTGATATTGATATAAATCATATGGGTGATATTATCACACATTATTTTTGATATCATAACATGTGACTATTATTTTATTTTATGTGATACTTACAAATTCATAGAGTTAATTGATCACATATATGTGATATCTTACAGATCATATGTTATACATAACATATCACATATATGATTTTTAAAACGTGAATCCAAAAAAATGAGAAAAAGAACTCCTTGAAGAAAACAGATTGATTGCGGATATCACATATGATATTATACAAAAAATTGTGAAAAAATCTTATCAAATTAATGTGTATCTAAAAAATCACATAACACGTGACAAAAAATTATGAACTAATTAAAATTTAAAAATAAATACATTTAAAAGATATAATAAAAATTTTATTGATTCACATAGTTTTTTTTTTAATTCTAATTATACAATAAATAGAATCTTTGACTCTATTAAAAATTATAATTATCTATTTTAACCATCACTTGCTAAAACATGGAATTTCTTTTCTATTTTTTGTTTAGAATATGGAACTATTAATTACTTTTTGGATGACTAATTAAGATGATTAGTGAAGTTTATTACTTTCGGATGACTAATTAGTAGGATTAGTTAATCGTCATCGATTCAATTTCAATGCAAAGTCCTTATGTTTTGTGGGTAGAGATTAACCGTTAACTAAACCAAAGGTTAATAACAAACTGAGATTAGGTTTGGTCGTTTGGCCAAACTGCATGCATTTGGGTTCAAATATGAATTTTCTCAAAACTCTAAGATTGACTGCACTGCAAGTACCCTTACACCTTCATGATTCACCAATTAAATCATCACTATAAATTAATGTCAATTAGGATTATATTACACGAGTTTCAATTGCTTGAAGAGGTTGGGTTTTTGTTCCACTACGACACTAATTTTCATATGTTGTTGTTCGTCATTTTCATGGAATGAATTAGGTTAAAGGAACTCGATGCATGTATATGAACGGAATCTTGAATGCTTCTATATTCAAATAGGTTTTAATCAATTTTTTTCACCAAAAAAGTCATGTAGTTATTACGTATTTAATTTAGATAAGACATAAATAAGGTAAAAAAAATCTGGTAAAAAGTTGAGTTTAGGCTACATTCATTTAATCTCGCATGAGCTTCTTGAAAAGTACATTTTTACCTAAAACAAAATGGATGTGTACTTCCACCATTCAAAGAAAAAGGTTTGAAGTTATGTTGGTCCAATATATCATTTTAAACATCGTTTATCATATTTTTTATCGAGTAAGCATTTAAGAGTCACCATCCTTATTTTATGGGATGATCTTTTTGGCTATTAATAAATTGACATTATTAATTCATATCAAATGATATATATATTTTATGAGTTAATGATGTCAATTTATATTTTTAATTATTTTTCTTTAAAGAATATTCTATGTATG